TTGCTATCAAGGGCTGGTAGTGTTTTGAACTTTTCCCACTTCTCTCCGAACTCGGTTAATTTGCTACATTGTCTTGCAAGAAGACGTTCTTTCTCGAACTCTAATTTTAGTTCATTAAAAAATGCTGCAATTACGGTTTTGTTTCTTGTCTTTTTGCCGAGTAAATGGTCACTTTCGCTAATACGTACACAAGTACCTCTATGTTTTCGCAGTCGTTGACGTTGGGCTGCTGATTGGTAGGTGGCTGGTCAGTGGACCGACCCCGGCGGCGCTGGCTGACTGGTCCCGCTATACCTTGCATTTCGCCGTGAACATATTGTTGGCCTCGGCAAATGCTGAATCTTTGACAATGTCCACGGGACTGCTGCGTGGAGCGATCAGTGCCCCCGGATGTCGGCTCTGACTCCGATGAGGCCACTTGGCGACAGAGACAGAGGTTTTTCCTTTCAGTTCCGCGTAAAATCTGTACAAGTGTCCAGTAAGGACTTATTTTGTTTTCTCGCTTTTTCAAGCCAGTCATTCCACCTTTTCATCGCCCAGCGGGTGGCGTTCACGGTTCCACCTTGCTCAACGTTTTTATCTTATTCTTTTAACTGGTTTAGTTATTCATTTGAGTAGGATTGCGGGTTTTTTGAAACGTTGAGTTTTTGCAGCGAGCTTTTTCTCTTAGGGCTTGCGAGATAGCTGCGTGCACACATATCTCTTCAACATTGCGCGCCTCACAGGAATGCGGCTGATTCACGTGCTTTTGTGAGCGAGGTGCTTCCCTCCGGGAGAAATTCGCCGTCCCCATATGCTTAACACAGAGCCGAGCGGCGGCTGACAGGTGGCCGGCTCTCGGGAGATCGGCAGCCGACACTCGAAAAATCGACAAGCCGCCGCTGAATGCGCGTGCGGCAGTGCTGAGCCGAGTCGTTCCCACGGTCTGAGGTACCCCCAGTTTGAAGATTCGGCTGTAGAATATGTAGTTTTAAATACGTAGTTTGACGTAAATCTCGGAAAAGTGAGATACGGCCAGAAATGAGTGTGGGTCCCTCCGTTCTGAAGATTCTGATCGACGCCGATTGAAATAATTCGCCGTGCATATCTCGGCTTATTGACGACCGATTGACACGGGATAAACACCGATCGATACCAAATGGCTCTGTGTGTGTGTGTGGGGGGGGGGGAGTAGAGTGGCAAGTTTTCCTACCCGACGAACCCGGAATTATCCCGAGGGGGTAGGTGTGGGAGTAGAGTCGGGGGAACGGGGGGCGAGTGCAAGTACCAAGTACTTTCGCAGTACCAAGCAAGTACCAAGTACTTATGGAAATACCAAGCAAATACCAAGTACTTTGGCAAATACCGAGTACTTATGCAAATACCAAGCAAGTACCAAGTACTTTGGCAAGTACCGAGTACTTTGGCAAGTACCAAGCAAGTACCAAGTACTTTTGCAAGTTCAGCAAGTTTTTCGCCAATATCGAAGCTTCTAGACGTCCAATCGTCACCGGAAAAACACCATTCGATCCCAAATTTTCTCCCGAATCTCTTTATGGCCAAAGCGACGCGGAGCGAGCCAAGATATCTTGTTTAAATATCCATTTGAGTAGGATTGCGGGTTTTTTGAAACGCTCAGTTTTTGCAGCGAGCTTTTTCTCTTAGGGCTTGCGAGATAGCTGCGTGCACACATATCTCTTCAACATTGCGCGCCTCACAGGAATGCGGCTGATTCACGTGCTTTTGTGAGCGAGGTGCTTCCCTCCGGGAGAAATTCGCCGTCCCCATATGCTTAACACAGAGCCGAGCGGCGGCTGACAGGTGGCCGGCTCTCGGGAGATCGGCAGCCGACACTCGAAAAATCGACAAGCCGCCGCTGAATGCGCGTGCGGCAGTGCTGAGCCGAGTCGTTCCCACGGTCTGGCGGCCAGCTGGGTGGGGGGCGGGGTGGGGAGTGGGGCGCCGATTGCCGGCCGCTTCTCCACGGGCAGGTGCTGCCACCTGCGCAGTAGTTCCACTGGCGGCCGCCAGGCCCGTGCGGCAAGCGGGCCGTGCGCGGTAGTTCCGCCAGCGGCCGCTAGATGGATACCGCCGCGCGCGTCGTGTCTAACCTGACGAAGCTACAAAAAGTTAGATAACTTTAATAAGAGGGACGGTAAAGCCACAATTCCAACGCTGAATGCTGGGCAAAAGCAAAGGGATCCAACACAGCCATCTGTATTTACTGTATTTACCCTTTTCAGTCAGCGATAAGCCCCAGCAATCGCACCGCTGCAAAACTCGCAAGCTGTTCACCGTGCAGGGTATTGCATTATAACCACCCACCGGCTCTTTTAACGCAAGTGTAATCGTTTAATAGGTAGGACGCAAAAAGCAAGGAAGACATGATAGGTAGGTGAAATAAAATACGAATTGAAATTAAGCATAACTCAAATCAAATTGCAATCAATCATTGGAAACAAATCAAAACGAACTGTGACCAAGGGAAATTTGGAAGGTCTTTGGTCGTCTTAACACGTCTGATTTAAACGTCGGAAAGGAACAAGTTCTTTGCGGTATTTAGGCAAGTAAATACCAAGTATTTTAGAACAAGTTCTTTGCGGTATTTAGGCAAGTAACTACCTTTGGCAGGTTTTCAGTACATTACCAAGTAGCAGGTGATACAGCAAGCTGGCAGGTATTTTGGCAAGTTCAAGCTGGCAGGTATTTTGGCAAGTTCAACAAGTTTTTCGCGAATATCTAAGCTTCTAGACGTCCGATCAACACGGAACAAACACCAATCGGTCCCAAATTTTCTCCTTAATCATTTTATGGCCAACGCGACGCGGAGCGAGCCAAGATATCTTGTTTAAATATCCATTTGACTAGGATTTCGGGTTTTTTGAAGCGCTGAGTTTTTGCAGCGAGCTTTTCCTGTTAGGGCTTGCGAGATACCCGCGGAAACACATATCTCTTCAGCATTGCGCGCCACACAGGAATGCGGCTGATTCACGTGCTTTTGTGAGCGAGGTGCTTCCCTCCGGGAGAAATTCGCCGTCCCCATATGCTTAACACAGAGCCGAGCGGCGGCTGACAGGTGGCCGGCTCTCGGGAGATCGGCAGCCGACACTCGAAAAATCGACAAGCCGCCGCTGAATGCGCGTGCGAAAATGAGCGAGGTACCGCCGTTCCGGAGATCCGGCAGCCGGCGGCCGGCCGACGGCTGGAAAATTCCACCGGCCGGCCCGGCGGCAGTGTGTCGGGCGGCGGGCGGCGGGGCGGGGTTTCCCCGTCCAGCGGCCGGCAGCGCTGAGCCGAGTCGTTCCCACGGTCTGGCGGCCAGCTGGGTAGGGGCGGGGTGGGGAGTGGGGCGGCCGATTGCCAGCCGCTTCTCCACGGGCAGGTGCTGCCACCTGCGCAGTAGTTCCACTGGCGGCCGCCAGGCCCGTGTGCGGGCCGTGCGCGGTAGTTCCGCCAGCGGCCGCCAGAGGTCACGCGCGTCGTGTCTAACCTGACGAAGCTACAAAAAGTTAGATAACTTTTATAAGAGGGACGGTAAAGCCACAATTCCAACGCTGAATGTTGGGCAAAAGCAAAGGGATCCAACACAGCCATCTATATTTACTGTATTTACCCTTTTCTGTCAGCGATAAGCCCCAGCAATCGCACCGCAGTAAAACTCGCAAGCTGTTCACCGTGCAGGGTATTGCATTATAACCACCCACCGGCTCCCTCAACGTATGTGTAATCGCTTAATAGGTAGGACGCGAAAAACAAGTGAGATATGATTGGTAGGTGAAACAAATTACGGATTGGGAATAAGAATAACACAAATTGCAAACAATTCATTGGAACAAATCAAAATTATCTGAGACCAAGGCTAATTCGCAAAGTCTTTGGTCGACTAAAGACGTCTGATTTAAACGTCAGGAAGGGACAAGTTCTTTGCGGTATTTAGGCAAGTAAATACCAAGTACTTTGGCAGGTTTTCAGTACATTAGCAAGTTTTCAGTACATTACCAAGTAGCAGGTGATACAGCAAGCTGGCAAGTTCAACAAGTTTTTCGTGAATATCTATGCTTCTAGACGTCCGATTAACACGGGACGAACACCAATCGACCCCAAATTTTCTCCCTCATACTTTGATTGCCAAAGCGACGCGGAGCGAGCCAAGATATCTTGTTTAAATATCCATTTGAGTAGGATTGCGGGTTTTTTGAAGCGCTGAGTTTTTGCAGCGAGCTTTTCCTGTTAGGGCCTGCGAGATACCCGCGGAAACACATATCTCTTCAGCATTGCGCGCCACACAGGAATGCGGCTGATTCACGTGACAAACTCGATGGCGGTCCCTCCGTTCCGGAGAAAAATTACCGGCCGACGGCTGGAAAATTCCACCGGCCGGCCCGGCGCCGGTGTGCAATGTGCATGTACATATGATAAGCGTAACGCATTTATAAATCGTGAAATCGTCTTTTTTTTCTCAATACACGATGCTGCCGAGATACACGAGCGCTTTATGCCGATCATCTCCCGTCTGCAACTTCCGTGACGGGCCGTCTGCTCGGCCGCGGCGCCGGCGTCCGCCCGTACTAGATCGGCCGGTTTTCGTCACCGGACGAGCCCGGACTCGCCAAAAATTCAGGTAAGTTGGGGCCGACAGAGGGTGGAATTGATTGAGGGACGATCGAAAAACATGATACAAATAATAGGTAAAACATTTTGCAAGTAGGACTCGAAAATCTCTAATCGTACGATTTCCGTCAGAACCGGGTTCGACAAATGTTTGCTCCAGCTGCGGAGAGCAAACTGCGTCACTATAGTTACATACCATAATACGATAGAGGGACTGCAAAGTAAGACATAGTTTAGCTCTAAAAAAGTAGAAAAATATGGCAAGCATTTCTGTGTAACAAAGTATTCATGAACTCCTTCAAATAGGCATTTCTTTTAATACGCTTAATATTCATCACTAAATCGGCCGTTGTGTTTGGACCGAGGTGAGCTTGGTGGTGGATGCGTCACAATGATTTAGATAAAACATTTTGAATTTGGAGGGTGTTAAGATTACATATGAATGCCAATTGACCTTGAGAGCTGTTGTTAATTACTGGGATGATTTTTCAAAGGTGGTTTTGGTGCATAAAGGCTTATTTATTACGAAAAATGCAAGTGGCGCGGCTAACGTGGCGCGTGCATGATTGCCTTTAATTGAAGTGATTTATCCTAATATTTTGCCTCATGAAACAATTTGAAGCAAAAGTTTAGTTTTTGCCAGTTTTTATTAGTCTGCTGCTTAAAACATTTTGAACTTTTTTAATATGGTGATGGTGAAACGTGATGTTAGGAACTTGAAAAGCAGTTACCTAGCAGGTTAAAGCCGCCCTCTGAACCCGGGGCTCTAAATGTGCATAAAACCAACAGAACAGGTGTGGCGTCAGCAGAAATGCAAAAGCTGAACCCTTCCCTTCTAATATGACCTTGCCATTCCCAATGTAACTAAGCCTTATTTGGCCCAGCGGATGGTCAGGTGAGTCATAAATATTTTTTTTAAAATAAAAAGTATTGTGAGTATCAATGCGTGATGTTATTTTCCAATCTTAGAAGGATGTTTTCATATTTTATTGCCTGAATTCATTCAGTTTCTGCTTTGCAAAGGGTGGAAAAGGTAGTTGGAGCTGCAGCGCTCAGCTAACTGCATGATTTACTTCAAAGTACAAAGATAGGGCTGCCTGCTCCTTTTTTGGCACATTTGTTCAAAAATTTCCTGTTAGACAGGAGACATTTAAAGCCGCCCTCTGAACCCAGGGCTCTAAATGTGCATAAAACCAACAGAACAGGTGTGGCGTCAGCAGAAATGCAAAAGCTGAACCCTTCCCTTCTAATATGACCTTGCCATTCCCAATGTAACTAAGCCTTATTTGGCCCAGCGTATGGTCAGGTGAGTCATAAATATTTTTTTTAAATAAAAAGTATTGTGAGTATCAATGCGTGATGTTATTTTCCAATCTTAGAAGGATGTTTTCATATTTTATTGCCTGAATTCATTCAGTTTGTGCTTTGCAAAGGGTGGAAAAGGTAGTTGGAGCTGCAGCGCTCAGCTAACTGCATGATTTACTTCAAAGTACAAAGATAGGGCTGCCTGTTCTTTTTTTGGCACATTTGTGCAAAAATTTCCTGTTAGACAGGAGACATTTTGGTTCTCTCCAGTCAGTCATCAGTTGCTATAGAAGCTGGACCTAATTTAAATTTGCAGAACGTAACCTGTCTTGACCAAATCTGACCTAACATAACTCAACCTTACCTTGCTCGGGGTGGTGGTTTGGTACATAAAATGTTTGTGTAAAATGTATTGTGAGTTTTGATGTGTGGTGTCACTTTTGGAACTTGGAGGATGAGTTTTTTTTCTTTTCTCTCTTAAATTACTGAATTTCTTCAGTGTTTGGAGGTTGCATAAGGCAGTGATAGCAGGAAAAACATGACATTTTCGATCTATATGTCAGTGTGTGACTGCATCCGTCATTGAAACGTAGGTTGCACAGTAGATGTTCTCTAGGGGCTAGGTGCTAGATGTGAGTTGTTGGCTATTTTTCTACCTTTATTACATCTGTAAACAGTGTTGATATAGCAACAGCTGCAATCAGCTGTCAGCTGATTGCATAATGTTCTTGAAAGAGCGAAGTTAGGACCACCTGTTGTTTTTCGACTCGACTCAACTAATTTTGAATTTTAACTATTTAAACTGGGATGAGTCATGTGGTAGTAGCGCCTGATTGATTTGGTTAAATGCTTTGAATGTAAATGAAAGGCTTAAAAATAACATTCTAATAAAGAATTGATATATCATTGCAAAGGTGGCTGCTATGGTGCTAAATTATTGCTTGAATTTGAAATTCATCTCTGTGTTTGAACTCAGGCTAGCAGCATTGTGGTAGTGCGCCAGACTGTTATAACTAAATACTTAAATCTGTAATTAAAATTATAAAATTATTATAATCTAACATAAAGAACTGACGCTGGCAGATGGATTGTGTTTGGTGTTTGTCTATTGATAAGACAGTATTACCCATGTGCCCTCTCCTAGCAGATTCTGATTGTAATCCCGTAGTGCCTGATTGATTTGGTTAAATGCTTTGAGTTTAAATGAAAAGCTTAAAAAATATTATTCTAACAAAGATTGATAATGGCAGAGGTGTGGTAAAAAATAATATTCTAACAAAAAATTGATAATGGCAGAGGCGTGGTAGTTGTGGATTGCAGGCACTAATGTGATCTTGAAAAAGATATCGGTCAGCAGGACCGACCGACCGACCGACCGACCGACCGACCGACCGACCGACCGACCGACCGACCGACCGACCGACCGACCGACCGACCGACCGACCGACCGACCGACCGACCCGACCCGACCCGACCCGACCCGACCCGACCCGACCCGACCCGACCCGACCCGACCCGACCCGACCCGACCCGACCCGACCCGACCCGACCCGACCCGACCCGACCCGACCCGACCCGACCCGACCCGACCCGACCCGACCCGACCCGACCCGACCCGACCCGACCCGACCCGACCCGACCCGACCCGACCCGACCCGACCCGACCCGAATTTTGAATTTTAACCATTTGAACTGGGGTGAGTCATGTGGTAGTAGTGCCTGATGGATTTGGTTAAATGCTTTGAATGGCTACAGTGTGGGCGGCAGTTCGACCCGAGGCAGGCCAGCACTGCAGCTGTGGAGCCGACATGGGGTCGCCGTGTGGTTAGAGAAGCGATCGAAATTCGAGTGTGCAATCCGTCTTTAAACCAGGGCGTGGGTAAATTCTCGCTTAGCCCCATATGGGACAGTGCTCTAAAACAGTAGTTTTTCTTTGGAAGAGGAAGTGTACCTATTGGCTATGTTTTACATATGAGAATAGGCAAGTTGTGCGTCACGTGCTGGATATTTAGAAATTTGATTGATGTGTTGCGAAAAATGGCTACCTGATTTTTGTCTGTTTTAAACCTATGTGTGCCCCATCGAACGGGACCAATAATAACTTTTACCCACTATCCAGTGAAAGTCCGTTAAAACAATTTCAAACAGTATTACCCTTTTGCCTCCTCCTAGCAGATTCCGATTGTAATCCCGTTCCTTTGTTCCATTTCCAGAATTGCTCGCAATGTCGGGTCAAACACCTCCGCCAACGTCGCCGAGTCGCCCGACCGCCGCCGACCCTCCGGGGCCAGCGCCGGAGACGGTGGCACGGCGCGCTGACGGTCTGATGGTCGATGGCGATGCAGCTGAACCCGCAAACGGTCAACGTAACGGTCAGTCCGTAGATCCGACGGTGAACGCCGCGGCCGCGAGACGGGCGCGTGATCGCGAGCGTCGTCGCCTCGCCCGAGAGCGAGAAACTGAGGCTGAGCGACTTCTTCGCCTGCAACGTAAACGTGAAGGCCAGGCTCTGGCGCGCGCTAGACAAAGAGATCAGACAGGTGGCGCGGGCCCTTCCCATCAGGCGGTAGTCGATGCAGTGCCGGTTCCCGGTCCATCGGGGGCCCAGCCGCCGGTCATCCTTGCCGCGGATATCGCTGCCGCGCGACGCGAGCGTGACCGGGAGCGTCATCGACTTAGGAGGGAGCGTGAATCGGAGGCTGAGCTCGCCGAGCGTCAGCGACGCAATCGTGAGAGAATGGCTACGGCTCGCACTAAGGTCAGGACAGGGAGAGACGGCGCAGGTCTTGAGCCACCTGTTGCTGCTGGTGTGGCGGATCAGCCGATCGCACCACCGACTGCGTTTGAACCGCCGGTGGTGGGCGGTGTCGCGGACGTCGCGCCCGGCGCGGAGGCAGTGGGCGGCGCTGTAGGAGAGGTGGCAACGCACTCGCCCGATGGTGCTGTAGATGCTGTCGAGGCGACAGTAGCCGATGCGCCAGACGACGCAGCGGCGCGCCGGCCCGCGGCCGATGCGCCCGACGCGGAGGCAGTGGGCGGCGCTGTAGGAGAGGAGGCGCCCCACACGCCCGATGGTGCTGTAGACGCTGTCGAGGTGGCAGCGGTCGATGCGCTAGACGGCGCAGCGGCGCGCCGGCCCGCGGCCGATGCGCCCGACGCGGAGGCAGTGGGCGGCGCTGTAGGAGAGGAGGCGCCCCACACGCCCGATGATGCTGTAGACGCTGTGGAGGTGGCAGCGGTCGATGCGCTAGACGGCGCAGCGGCGCGCCGGCCCGCGGCCGATGCGCCCGACGCGGAGGCAGTGGGCGGCGCTGTAGGAGAGGAGGCGCCCCACACGCCCGATGATGCTGTAGACGCTGTGGAGGCGGCAGCGGTCGATGCGCCAGACGGCGCAGCGGCCCGCCAGCCCGCGGCCGATGCGCACGACGCGGAGGCAGTGGGGGGCGCTGATGGACAGGCTCCGGTGGACGCGCCCGCCCGTCGTCGAGGCGACCAGCACCTGCTGGCTCGCAATTATGTCCCCGCCGAGTTCGAGCCGCCGGCTGGCATGCAGCTGGGCCGAATGGACACCGTCTGTGCCCATTGTGGAGCGCTGCGCTGGCGTGCCGAGCCCGCAGGCGCCTGTTGCCATCAGGGCAAGGTGCAGCTTGACTTCCATCCCCCGCCGCCGGACGAGATGGTGGAGCTGATGACCCCCGGCACGGCGTTCTATGACGAGTTTCGGGGCAAAATTCGCGCTTACAACACGGCCTTCCAGCTGGCCAGTATGGGGTGCAACGTCGTCCGACACGACGGGGCGTATCACGCGGCTTTCACCGTTCAGGGTAGCGTGTGTCATCGTATGGGATCTCTACTGCCCGCTCGCGGCGGCGAGGAGCAGTTCATGCAGGTGTATTTCCTCGACGCAGACGAGGCCACCGCGCGACGTGCCACCATGTGTGGCGGCCTCGACAGAGCCGTTCTCGACATCCTTTTGGGCATGCTGCACGAGCACAACAACTACGTGCGTGCGCTCCAGCCGGCTCTGCTGATGGCGCGCGGTGTGCCGAACTGCCGGATCGTGTTGTCGGCCGAACACCGGCCGCTGTCGGAGCACGAGCGCCGGTTCAATCTACCGATCGGTCGCGAAGTGGCGGTCCTGATGCCCAATGAGATGGGGGGCCGGCGCGACATCGTCGTTCGCGAGCGCGGCGGACAACTGTTCCGCATCGACGAACTGAGCCGCCAGTACGACCCGCTGCTCTATGTGCTGCTGCACCCGCGCGGCACGGACGGGTGGTCGCTCGAGCTGAAGGCCGAGCGCGGCGTCACAATCCGTCAGTATGGTGCGTTCCACATGCGCTTCCGACCGGGTCATTTCAATCTCATTCCGCGAGGGGGCCGGCTGTTTCAACAGTACCTGGTGGACACTGAGGCAAAAGCTGAGTCGAGTCGTCTGTCGTATGTGCGCGCGAACCAGGACGGCTTCAACGGCTTCCGCGCCGAGACCATCCGCGGCGTGCGAGACGCGCTGGCTGACGGCGAGGAGCACGGCCGAGCCGTCGGACGGCGCGTGGTGCTGCCGGCATCCGTAACGAGTAGTCCGCGCTTCATGATGGCCAAACTACAAGACGCTCTCTGCTACGTTCGAGACTTTGGCGCCGCCGACTTTTTCATCACCGTGACGTGCAACCCGGCCTGGCCAGAGATTGAGCAAACTCTGCGCACCCTCTACCCGGGAGAGAGGCCGGGCGACTACGATCGGCCGTGCGACCACCCTGACGTTGTCAGTCAGGTGTTTGACCTCAAGCTGCAGGCGCTGCTGAAGCAGCTGCGGGGCGGCATCCTGGGTCGACAGCGGGCCATTCTGCACACGATTGAGTGGCAGAAGCGTGGCCTGCCGCACGCTCACCTTCTGCTGTGGGTCGTGCCCGCCGACAAACCTCGCGCCGAAGACGTGGACACGTGCGTGTGCGCTGAGCTGCCAGATCCCGAGACCGATCCGGAACTGCACGCGATCGTCTGCACCAAGATGGTGCATGGTCCGTGCGGCGCGCTGAACCCGCAGGCGGTCTGCATGAAGGACGGCCGCTGTAGCGTCGGCTATCCGCGCCCGTATCTGGAGGCCACAGAGCTGCCAGAGCGCAGCTATCCCAAGTACAGGCGGCGCGCGCCGGAGGACGGCGGTCAACGTGCGCGGACGCCCGGACGGCGCGGTGTGGAAATCGACAACCGCTGGATCGTTCCCTACAATCCGCACATCCTTCGCGCGCTGGACTCACACGTCAACGTCGAGCTGATCACGCACGCGATGGGAGCGATCCGCTACTGCATCAAGTACGTCACCAAGGGCTCGGATAGGATCATGTTCGCCGTGCAGCCCGACGGCGTGGTTGACGAGGTGACCCAGTATCAGAACAGCCGGTACCTGGGATCCATGGAGGCAGCGTGGCGGCTGCTCGACCGACCAGTCCACGTCCATCATCCGCCGGTCCAGCGGCTGCAGCTGCATCTCGGTGACGACGAGAGACGTGTCGTGTTCCGCGGCGACGAAAACCTGGAAGCGGTCATCGCGGGCGAGCAGGCTAATCCATCCATGCTCACAGCCTTCTTTGAGCTGTGCCAGCGTGACGCGTTCGCGGCGACACTCCTCTACCCAGAGGTGCCGCGATACTACACGTGGCAGGTGCGACGCGGCCGGGGCGCAGACGCCCGTCCGGCCCACTGGAAACGCCGCGTCCGTGGCCAGCCTCACCCCGAGGTGCCGGGCGTGGTTGCCTCTGAGACTCTGTCGCGCGTGTACACCACGACGCCGCGCGCGGGCGAAGTTTTCTTTCTTCGCCTGCTCCTTCACAGCGTCCGAGGTCCGCGCTCTTACGAGCACCTCCGCACGGTCGATGGCCGCGTGTGTGCCACCATGCGCGAGGCGTGCTCCGCACTGGGGCTGCTCGAGGACGGAGCGCACTGGGCGCGCGCACTGGAGGAGGCGAGTGTGACGCGCTTTGCAGGTGGTTTGCGTTTCCTCTTCGCTCTGATTCTGATCGAGGGAGAGGCTACGTGCGATCCCATGGCGCTGTGGATGAGGTTCGCGGACGCCCTGTCCGAGGACATCGCTCGCCGTCAGCGCACCGCTCGCGCGGCTGGCAGACGTGGTCTCACCGAGGACGAAGTGCGCCAGCAGGCGCTGCGGAAGATCGCTGGCATTCTCCGCCGGCTGCGCGGCAGATCTCTGGCGGAGTACGGACTGCCGGTGCCGCCGGTGCCGGACGCCGCCGCCGCCGCCGATGGCGACGACGACGAGCCGCCCGGCGGTCCCGAGTACGACCCGGCCGCTCTGGCCGATCGCGTTGAGCGCGACGAGCCGCGTCTGACGGATGACCAGCGCGCCGTCTATGACGAGGTGCTGCGACGGCTGGACAATGACGAGTCGGGTGTCATCTTCCTGCAAGCTCCAGGCGGCTGCGGGAAGACGTTCTTGGAGAACCTGCTGCTGGCCAAGGTGCGCAGCCGGGGACACGTGGCAGTTGCAGTGGCCACATCCGGCATCGCAGCCAGCCTGTTGGAGGGCGGCACGACTGCCCATCATCGGTTCAAGATCCCTCTGCAGCTGCATCCTGACAACGAGAACGTCTGCGGCATTGATCGCCGCTCTCCCGAGGCCGACTACCTTCGCCGCTGTCGCCTCATTGTATGGGACGAAGCGGCCATGACGAACCGGCGCGCCACTGAGGCGGTCGACCGGGCTCTCCAAGACGTCCGCGACAGGCAAGAGCTGTTTGGCGGCGTTCTGACGCTGCTCTCTGGCGACTGGAGACAGATCCTGCCAGTGGTGAAGCGCGGCGGGCGCGCAGAGGTTGTTGACGCCTGCCTCAAGTCATCGCCCATGTGGCCTCGGATCGACACCATGGAGCTCGCGACCAACATGCGGGCGTTGAACGGCGACGATCAGGCCGGTGAGTTCGCCAACTTCCTGCTGCGCGTCGGCGACGGCCGGCTGCCCGTCGTGGCACAGCCGGACTCGGTGCAGGTGCCCGAGTTGGTGGTCAGTCCGGCGCGCAGTCTCGCCGCCTTGGTCGATCGCATTTTCCCTGACATGGCCGGGCGACACCGTGATGAAGAGTGGCTGCATGAGCGCGCCATCCTCTCGCCGCTAAATGCGACCGTTGACAGGGCGAATGAGGCCGCGCTGGCCCTTCTGCCCGGCGAAACAGTCACGTACGCTAGCGTCGACACCATCAGTGACGACGACAACGAGGATCACGGGCCTCCGGTGCCCACCGAGGTGCTCAACGCGATCGACGTGTCGGGCATGCCGTCGCATCGACTTCAGGTCAAGGTCGGCGCCCCGGTCGTGTTGATGCGCAACCTCGACGCTCCGCGCGTCGTGAACGGC